ATCCAAGAAGATGGAAAATCAGGGCGGGGACAGCCAGCCACTATGGGGCTAGCCATCACCCTGCTTGAGACGTTTGCACTCCGTAGAGTGGGTCAAAGGAGGGGTGCCATCGCAACAGCTGCCTAGCTGACCAGTAAGCAACCAGTGTGGGAGGAGATAGACAGGGAGGAGGATAAGGCCAGGGGTTGACTCCAGTCTGCCCTTCTCCCTCACTTTTTCCTCTCTGTTGCCTGAAGCAGCCAATGTACCTACCATGTGCCTACAATAATGTCCAGGCCAGCCTTGGGGCAATGCATTAGAGATGGCTGGAAAGGGCTTGGCCCTTTGGAATTTTGCACAGACGACTTTATACTGCCACATAGTGTTGCAGGCCCCACCTGGCCTGCACGGCTTCCATTGCATCGACCTGGATTTCATGCAAGATGTTTTGCCAAAGAACCATTTCCAACTTCATCAGTCCAGAGCCCGCCTGTAGATCCCTTTCCCAGTTAAAGAGGCCTGAAGAAAAAGAGAAACGATTACAGTAAATAACTGGGCAGAAGTGCTCTTTTGGACCTCTCGTTGCCTTGGTAGTCAGACTTTGTCCATTCCAATGAATCTGGGTCAATGGAAACTACTGTTAGGGACTATCAAAGAAAACTGCAGGTATTTGCATTTGGGGATGTCACCACTGAGGGCAAAGGAGGTATAATTGAAGTCTCGTTGGGTTTAGGACGCCTGTCCTTCCACAGTGAGCTTGATGTAAAACAGAGAGATGCAACTGCTAAAAGTTGCACTCGGCTTTTCGATGGAGTGCTGGAGATTGTGCTCTGAAGAGCAGGCCGAAAAGGGGGAAAGGCTAGAACAAAAATAGCTTGATTTAATGTAATTAATTAAAACCAGATGACATTAATTAAAGTAGAGCTAATGTGATTCCTCTCAGTGTACTGAATCATTTTCATCTTTTTCTATATGAGAAATTACCATTTGGTGGCAAATTTGGGAAGGACTTGGAGGTCTCAGTTAAGGCTTTAGGGAGTCCTCAGTGCTGAAACCTATTTATAAGAGAGAGAAACCCATGTTACTCAGCAGTGTTGTCTGGTAGAAGTTCTGTGAGGGAAAAAAATGAGTTTACACTATTGGTAGAATATTGGAGTAGGCAAGGTTTCTCTAGACTTTCTGAAGAAGGCTGATATACATGGGAAAAGCAGGTCTTTTTAAGGCCAGCAAGCAACTGAATTTCTGCTTCTAGAATATCATTTTCCAGTTTCTATGAAGAACTTTTATTGATATTGAGGGGGTCTCAAGTTGACTCTAGTTATTTCTGTTTTAGTTAGCTTAATAAAATTTCAAGTGATTTGTAATAGGACAAGAGTATATGGACAGTGGCATCTGTGAGGAGGAGAAAAAAGAATCAGATGCTGGTCATGACTGCATGATTGAAGCTCCATCACATTTTACATGCATGTCACATCAACACATGTACCAAAAAGTTCAGGGCTTTGATTGCACAGTTGTGACCTCCATCTTGACTTTTTTGACTCACCCCTGCAGACACCCCAATGCCTGGGTATGTATGGAATGTGTTTCCATTACAACTGAATAATCAGGTAGATGCCATATATTTGGGATACGTGACTAGAGCTTTCAAGGTAGATTTTTTTCAACAGAGATTCAAAATCTGGCATGCTCATATTTCATTGGCTTGAACTAGTTCTTAAGCTAGTTCATATCCTGAAAGGAAATTATATCATTCCGTTCATTCACAATGTTTTGCTTGCATTATTACATTTATTTTGCCTCAAAGCTAATTCAAATTTTTTCCTACATAGTGCAAGTGGTTCAGTGAACTGGTTTGGAACACATATAAGATTGTATATTTGAATGTTTCTGCATGTCAGATGTTTCCTACTGCCAGAACCCACTTCCCTGAGATTCTGTCAAGGATTTTCTTTTGGTTGATTGTCAAATGAGCAATCAACACTGTCTAATGTATCTACATTCTATAGTGTCACACTAAAGTGAGCCTTGTCACATTTCTCCTCTGTATTTCCATTAGTTCTTAATCTTTAGGAGAAGGATGGGCAACATTCATTTTCTTTCTCCATCAGAGAATCATTGTTAGGAGAGGCCAAAGGGCCTTCTATTCTAGACCCATCCACTAGTCCACTTGGAAGAAGTACCATGTAGGTACTTCTTCCAAGCCAGCAGAATTCTCCCCACAAATCAAATATTCTCATTTCAGCTATTGCAAATCAAGAATGAGAAATAGGACTTGAATC